GTGTGTGTGTGTGTGTGTGTAAGTAAAAAGAGAGAAGAGAGAAAGAAAGAAAACGTGTGCCTGCGTGTGTATATGTACGTGTGGCTGTGTAGGTGCATGTGTAGATAAATAGACAGATAGATAGATATAAAGATAGAGAGACAGATATATTGATAGATCTATCCCTTCCCAATAAAAAAAACTAAACATGCAAAACCAATACTCTTTAAAAAAAACCACGAAACAGAAAATTATGCCCCCGTTCTAACCCACCTTTATCTCACACTTTTGCCTTTAGGCCAACGAGGACCAGGGAGGATTGCGCAGAGAGAGGACGGCTGTGGCCTGGGCTTACAACATGCAGGGACAGGATGAGCCGGAGGATGCGAATCAAGGGCGGACAACTCGCTTCAACTTCAGGTCTCTAGATGGCTGGCACTTGCGGAAGTTGCTTGAGGAATTGTACAGAGACAAGAAGTACATGGACAAGCTCATCGATTCTACAGGTATATTGTTGAAAGTTTTTCACTTTCTATCACGTGTATAGTAAGTAAGTTTATTCAGTGTTTAAGGCCATTGGCTCACATCTTTTTGCTTTTACTTTTTCATCCTCTATTGCCGTTAACCGTCGAGGGGACATGCAGTTTTCTATGGTAGGTAAGCCTCGCAGCTCTTTCAACTGAGATATTATAATGTCTCAGGGTTTCTTTGACTCCCTCAATCCACCTTTTGCGTGGTCTTCCTCTTCCGTTATAGCCTGAGTGCATGGTGATATAGGCTCTTGAGGCTGGCTGGCTAGGTGACATCAGAGAGGTGACATTCATAACAGGTGGACAATCCACATCACAGCACATTATACACTCAGATTCCAAAATGAAAAAGTCCAGGTAGTTTCAAATATTTCTTTACCATCGTCACACGTTGCATATTTTTGTCACTGAGCCGAGTCATGCTGGGAAGGGTTGACAGTTTCCCTTGAAGGGCAACATTTGAACAATAAAATATATTTATTTTGGAAAATACTTCGGCTTTTGCATGCTGTATAATTTTAAATCTTACATCGCTTGTATAAGAACAACAAGGAAGCGACAAATGCATTTTCTGATAAAAATTGAATTTACATAAGACTTTGAACATCGGCTCTCATTGGAAATACAGAAGGCAAACGAGGCAGGGGTAGACCCGAAGCTATTTTTTTTTTTGGAAGAACCTGAACAGATGGGCAACGGGAGAACATCAGAATAATAATGGTTTTATTTCAGAGCATCTGAGCGGAAAAAATGAACCTTTACCACCACCAAAGTTGGTTTGAGATAGGACACTTTATGATAATGATGATCGATTGTATCTGTTAAAAACAGAAAAAGGGGACATACGGAAAAAGTCACTTTGCCAAACAGACAAGTACCAAATAGGTTAAAGGCCGTGAGCTAATTTGTAACTTTAAAATAACAACCCCCCTAAAGCACAATGAGCTATCGATTATGGGAAACAAAGCCATTTTGAGAGACACCTTATTAGATCATTGGAACTGTGTGTTGTTAAGATTATAAAAGTAGACATTGCTATCTTCCTTTCCATAGCAGGTCTATCTCATTCTCCCCCCTCCACTTCTCTGAAGTCTTCCCATTTTTCAACATTATCCTAAAAATAGTTTCTTTTGAGACTATTGTGGCCGCGGCGGTTGAATTCTTTTGCGAACGCAAATTTCACACACCTTGCCATCTCCACGACTTTTAAATGGGTGGTTACCAAAGGTGGTTACTGGGTTATGCCCTTGAGCAAGATGAGTTAGCTCTAACTTATTAAAATAAAGTGGGTTATTCCCTTGAAAAAGATACGTTAGCCATAGCCCAAGAGCAGTTTCTATGCTGCGGAGATCAGTTACAGTTAATGATATCAGTGTTCTGAACTGATTAAAATTCACTGTGTCTCATAATATAGTATGGATATAAATAAATATTTATTTTTTTTACGTTGAACGTTTTTTAAAGACGTGTGGTCTCCAATCGAACTTGTATCTTAGATAGGACCGAAGCATAAACGTATCATGTTTGATTAAAGTAAGCGTGATTGCTGCCTTCTTTCCATCACCTTCACATCAACATATTCAAAGATTAATGAGTGTACCTATGTTTACCTAAGCATCAGTCTATTGTTGTACCTGTCTTTTTGCCTACCTTCGATGTCACTTCAGTCTAATATTTGAACAATGCTGCCCTGTAACAAGGGGCTGTACGTTATATGCGATATTTATGTGGGAATATGTGTGTGTGTGTGTGTGTGTGTGTGTGTGTGTGTGTGTGTGTTTGTGTGTGTGTGTGTGTGTGTGTGTGTGTGTGTGTGTGTGTGAGAGAGAGAGAGAGAGAGAGAGAGAGAGAGAGAGAGAGAGAGAGAGAGAGAGAGAGAGAGAGAGAGAGAGAGAGAGAGAGGGTGGGATGGAAAAAAGGGATCGCTATTGGAACTTTATGGTGCTCGCGATCTATGAATTTTTGCAAGGCGCATTGAACACTTTCATTGTGGAAATTAAGTGATGTATTACGACGACGACGATGAATGATGAAGGTGGTTCCTTGTCGTCATAGTTGTTATAAATAATACTAATATGTTGATGGTCATGATGACGCTTACAATAATTTCCTTTGTGTCCTTAGTGCACGAAGACAAGGAGGAAAAACGAGTGTGCGCCAAACTGGAGACGGGTCGAGACTACCTCCTGGAAAGAGCTCACTACTGGAAGGAAAGAGGGCCCCTACCTCCCCGGCCGCCCACCACCGAGCTAGGCTGGCGAAATCTGAGAGCTCAGACAGCCAGCGAGACCACCCGAGACCACACGTCACAGCAGCAGCAAAGGAAGACTTCACAGGGAGGAGGAGATGGAGGGAAAACCAACAAAGGGTCAGATTCCTCACCTTCTACGAATGCGAAAGGGAACGAGAAAACGCCTCCTGTTCAGAGTAAAAATGAAGCTGCGAAGAAGAAAGCAACCGACGAAAAGAGTAATGACCCCAAAGCTAAAGATAAGCCCGAAAATGACAGTGGCACTAACGGAAATAGTACCAAAGATAAGAGTAACAACGACAATGGAAAGGAAACTGAAAATAAAGCATTTGATAATAAAAACAGCGAAAGCGAGGAAGGGTCAAAAGACAAAAAAGGCTCGTCCTCAGAAAATATTCAACAGCATTCATCTGCAGAGCAGCCCCAAAACGATGGAAGCAAAAGCACGGAACACAATTCGGACAGCCATGTAAAATCAGAACCTACGGCGACCGAACAACAAGCACAGCCACCATCAAATGCAGACCAAAGCAACAACGAACAAAACCAGAACTCGGACCAAGAAAAGGGAAAAGAGAGTGCTCCCCAAAACGCCCCAGCACCTTCTTTTTCCCAACCCCCGAATTCTGAAAACGTACCAAATGGAACTGTTTCGAATGCCCCTTGAGCTTTAGTGTTCGCTGATTTTTTTATGTGGGTATTTTTTTTACGCCCCAAAGGACACAATTTAGATCATTTTGGAGGCGGGCTTCGATCATGCTTGTCGGGGCCAACCTGTGATGAGAAGGATACAAAATCCCAGTAAAAAAAACCCAGAAACTCAATAAAAAATTCCCCATACACGAGAATCGAACCCCGGTCTCCTGCATGCGACAGCGATGGGCCTGACGGCTGTGCCACATATTACTATGCAGCATGTCTTCACAGCTTCGAATGGAAATTTATAAACCATAATTTGCACCTTTGTTTTCGAAGGTAGCGCTCTGCTAGACATAAAGCGATCATAAATCAGTGAACCGACCCCCCATACTGCGGAGGAAAATGGGGGAGGGAGGGGGGGGGGTTCTATTTTTTAAAATCTGGACACGACCCTTCGTCAATAAATCGGCTCCGAAGACAGCCCCAGTAAAGAAGCCAGTAAAAAAAAAAGGGGGGGGGGGGGGGATGCCACTTGCACGCCACGTAGGTAGTGGCGAAAAAGTGGCACGCTAACAGCGGGGTGAGTTTCACCTGGATTAGAGGGACAGTAAAGCATATAATTTGTACATGTATGACGCCTGACTGAATTTTCTGTCTACGTTGAGGAATAGAGATATACAGACTTCAATATAAATCAAGAACCACTTGCAAACACTCTGAGTGGTCTTCTTCGGTCGACCGGCACGTGGGCGTTCTTGGACTGATCCAGAGGCTTAATGGCGCTGCCTCTGACGGACAATGACAGAGTGTGACACTGCAAGCCTTCTGGCAACTTCTCGGGCTCCAACTCCATCCTGCAGCCATGCCATAGCTCTGGCACGACCAAAGTCTCCAAGCTTTGATCTTGCTGGCATGTTGATGCGATACTGGATTTTGCGCAAACGGCGGATAATATTGCCACCAAAGCGAGCACAGTTCGAGACCGTACGTCCAGAAATGTTAAGTGAGGAATGTCCGTGGTATGGTAGATAAAATACTGCAAATTTGGCTAAAATTCCCCGAGGATTTCCGTGCTGCACGTGGTGGTTTTTGGCCCTTTAGGGGGCTTTGCAGTACTCAATGGTAACCCATTAACACTTTCAGAGCAAAAAAATGTTGAAACATTCTTTTCCAGTGTTTTTTCGGATTTTTTAAAATTCAGGGCTGTCTGACAAGGTGGTCCTTAACTTATGTTGAAGTCTGTACAAGGCTGGCGTGAGCAATGAATATGTGGGCATTTTCTTTTCAATGTCGGCTTACGATGAACAGACTTGTAGCCCAGGATTTACATTGTAGCATGAAAAGCTTCTCTTCCAATGTAATGGCTAGCTCCCGCTAAACAGATATTGTTTAATAGTTATATGAAATAACATTTTTTAACAAAACAAAACAAAACAAAATCCAACAACAACAAACCAGCAACCCCTCCCCCCAAAAAAAACCCCAACAACAACAAAAAACAAACAAAAACAAAAACAAAACAAAAACAGAAACAAACGAACGAAGGATGAAAATAGTTTTGAAATTGAACCAAATTCCCGTGTATCTGTCAAAATATATTTTTTTAACTGAGAAAAATTGCAACTATCAGGGATGCCATTTATCGGGGTGTTATGCTACCATTACAGCAAGATTGGAAGAAATCAACGAACCGATGTTCTTTGTCCTTGAATGTTCATTTAATACATAAACCGTCAACTTTTATTTTTGTCACATTGTTGTTACTGTTGAGGGTACTTGCAAATGCATTATTAATCATATGTTTCCTATTAACATATTTGCCTGGGCATGTGGTATTCGCTAAAACTTGTATTAAGCTGAAATCTATAAAGTGCTACAAGGATGTCTTCTGTCTCACACACTGTCTCATTAGGGTCATGAATACAGAGAGTATATGCGTTAAAGTGCATCCAAGTTCATTGCGAGTCAAATACACTCAAAACAGTTTTATATATAACAGATTTAACAACACCAAATCAAACAACATGAAATCCCTTCAAATTAAAATATTTACTTTTGGATGAGCTTCTGGGATACATAGATTCTCCCAGCGAGTGTCCAAATCAGCTTATGTATCTGGTTATTTTAATGACTGAAAACGTGGTCAATATTTCAAATGTTGGCTTACGACCAAGATTGTGTTTAGTCGCGGAGTACTTTGTTTCTACATAGATAATTCTGTAAAATAAAGACAATGTAAAGGTTTAAAACGCTGCGCATGAAGGCAAAAAGAAAAATCCCCCAAAACGGTTAAAATTTTGATGACACTGAATGAATGACGTGTCTGCCTTTCCATTTTTCGACCTATGGCAATATTTGACTCATACTAGTAGTCGCTCTGATGATTGTGTATGTGGATTTTTTTTAATTTGTGAAGAAAGAAATGACTGTGATATTTAAAGTGGAAGCCATCTGTAATATCTTATTATGTACATTGTTTAATACACATGGTAGCCTATTATCCTTTGTACATTATGCGTATAGAAACATAACGTTTCAGAGATCATGTTAGTGTCAGTTTATGACCACAAAGCGAATTGCCTTGAAGTTACACTGAATAGTATGTCATTATCAATTATCATGTTTTTCAATAACTTTTTTGAATAAATGACATAACATATAACTTGTATCATATCTGCTTTGTTCAGTTCTAGTGTATATTACGTACTATATGGTGTGGGTCTTTCAGCATGAGGGTAAACCTGTCGAAAGTCTAGACAGAGTTCAAGTTTTCCAAGTCTTCCTTCCCCTGAAAGGCATGTACGTGCATTAAATCAGTAACTGATGTTAGTGACAAATTTACACACGAACAAACAGACACAAACACACACACACATGCACATATGCACCCAAACACATATTTTACTCACATTCACGCACCCCCAGACACAAATGCATACACAAATACACATGTCCACATGTATACACCTTTGCGTATGCACGGACACGCACTTATTCAGAAGTACTCACAGGCGATTTTTCTCTATAATATGTTTGTACTTACGCACACACACACTCTCTCTCTCTCTCTCTCTCTCTCTC